TTACTTTCTAAAAGTCATGACATTTCGTTTTAGTTTGTCTTAGAAAATGTTATGAACAGGTTTTTAACAGAAAAGTACTAGTGTCTTTATTTTCATTTGCTTATAATCAATAGCTTCTAGCATTTTTAACATAGTAATGAAGATAGTATTGGAGAAGCTCTACTGAAGTCTGAGGTCTTTCATGTCCTTCCTTTCTGAAAGAAGTTCTCAGGAAGGTAAGAAAGAGGCAGAGGCTGGCAGGCTTCTTTGCTTGGGGGTAGTGGGTGGGTCCTCTGAGAGTTTCCCTTAGCACCTGCTGTCCTCAGCTCACAGATATCTTCTGGGGTGGAAAAAGAAGTAAAATGGATAGGAGGCCGAGAGGCACACTGTTTTAAAGCTAGCTACTTAAATTTTCATGTGGTTCTGTGTCAACAGAAATAAATACAATTAGAACAAGAAAAATTTCAATATTTGAGTTACTTTCCTGGTTTTCTTTAGAGTTTTATATCGGTGCACAAAAGTCAGTACTGTCACTGAGCCATAGTAAAATGCTTCCTCACAAATTAAATAGGAGGGGGCTAGGAGACAATGTGGTTACATATGAGTTTGTGAGAATTTTGTGAATCAGGAGGAATGTTTTTTAGCCCAGAGATATTTAAGGGGTTTGTGGAGTTGATTTCAGTTTTAGCTGCTGGTTCTAGGTTCCCCTGTCCTTTTCTCATTCTTCGTGTCTTGTGAAGCACATAAAGTTCAGGTGTTCAGGCATCTAGTGTACTAACCTACGTTTGTATAATATTCTTTTCTTTATAGAGTGCACTTATATAACTTTTACACTCAAGATTTACAATAATCCTCTGATACACATGACTTTCTTGAAACCTGGTCTACTTATCAGACTTTAACTGGCAATAGCCAGCTATGGTGATGCATGCCTGTAATTCCAGCACCTGGGAGGCTGAGACAGAAGGATCACTGTGAGGCCAAGGCAGGTTTGGGGTACATAGTGAGTCCAAGGCAGTTTGAACTACGTAGCAAGACTGTCTCAAGAAAACACACACACACACACACACACACACACACACACACACACTCTCTCTCTCTCAAAAAATATACACCCACAAAACCAAACAAAAACCACAACAAAACAACTCAGACTTTAACTGGCACCAAAAGCAAAAAAAATTCACTATATTCCTAAAGAAAAATTGAGCTAGAAAAGCATGGGTTTTTAAAAAAATATAATTTATTAGGAGGTGGCACATAGAAACCCTGGATTCATTTACTATGCCTTTCTAATTTAAAAAAGGAATAAAATAGTTCTAATTCAAATATTTTGCTATGGTAAAAACTAAACAAAGGGTTATAACTTTTGTTTGATTGTTGTGACTCTGCTAGATTTGTTTCAAAAATCAAAGAAGCCTGTGAAGTACATTATGTTCTTTTGCTGACTTTCAAAAGCAGCCACTCCTGAATTAATTAAAAACAGCAATACATGAGGTATTGGATTACAGTATTGTATGACTGATGACTTATTTTACTGCATACAGAATAGCTGTAATTATCCTATCCATTTATTTCACAATAGACATGAGTTTGTATTATAATATATTGGCTTGTTGTTGTTGTTTGTAGTGCTAGGTATTGAACCCAGGGCCTCATGTATTCTAGCCAAATGCTCTATTGCTGAGCCACATTCCCAGGCTTATTTAATATATTGCTTTAGAAAAACCGTAGCAATAGTAAATTTAATGCAGGGTAACTTCAAAATACTGTGATGCCACTGATGAGATATAAGCATAATTTAAAATTTTTCAGTTAGTAAGATTTGGGTTAATGAGACCGTCCTGCAATTGCTATCAATAACTGAATCTGAAAAATTTTCCTGACAAATATATTGTTATATTGGAATAAAAACATGATGATGCAGACTGGAAACGCTTTTTGAAAAGTCGAAACTTATTTGATGATAGTAATAAAACGGCTAGCTCATAAGATGCTGGTAGAAAGGACACTGTTCTCCTGCCACCCACCCCAGCCTGAATCTGTCTCATCTCACAGCCACCTATACAGTGCTGGATGCAGCGGGTTTGGTAAATGTGGCTGGTTCATATTTAAAGATTTTTGTTGTTGTTGTTGTTGTTTGTTTTTTGTTTTTTAGTATAGTGTACTGATCTAGCCTGTGTGAGCCTTTGGGCTCATCAATCTCTGGCAAAGAAGGAAGGAAAATTTGGACTTTTTTTTGTTAACCTAACCATTATACTTAGTAATGATTTTATCTCTATAGGCATACTTAGCATTGTTGGTATATATTAATAATTATTAAACAAACAAATACAAGTCAATTTTATTATCTAAATGAAATTGACCCTTGAAGTTTTGTTACCTGAGGAGATTTCCATGTTTATTTCAGTGACTTACTAGCATTTGAGTTTTGCTTTTTCTCCCTTTTCAAAAATTTTTTTTTCTACAAACCATGCACCACAATTTATTCAAGTGGCTCCCTTATTTGGATGTTCTCAACCTTTTGCTCTCACAGGTAATGCAGCAGTGCACAAGCACATATGTCACCTTCCACATGTGCCAGTGTATCTGTGTAAATCCTTAGAGGTAAAATTTTATTATTAAAACAGATGATATGGGCTTTTGTCATTTTGATAGCTGTGGCCAAAGTACTGCCCAGAGATAACTGATTGTAACAGTTTATAGTCCACTTGCAATACTGGTACTATATTATCACTTCTTAAGTCTTTGCCACTTTACATGTGAAAATGTAATCTTTGCATGACTGTAGTTCATATATATACATATTTTATATACATATATACAAGGTCTCGCTATGTAGTTCAGGCTGGCCTTGCACTCACTACATAGTTCAGCTTTTTTTTTTTTGGTACTAGGTATTCAACTCAGGACTTTGTGCTTGCCAGGCAGACGCCTGTGCAGCTGGCTTATATTCCTTAGCCATTAACCTCATCTTGAACTCAAACTCATAGAGATCCTTCTGCCTCAGCCTCCTAAGTTCTGGGATTATAGGCATGTACCACCATGCTTGGCTTTTTTTTTTTAATGATTTTTAAATATTTATTTTATTGGTACATGTTTGGAATATGTAATGTTTACATTTATCTTACATCTTACATACAACAAGAGTTGCATCTTCTGATTTATAAATGCCTTTATGTCTTAGCAGTATTTCTGTTGGTACACTTAAAGTATAAAACTTGTATTCTCTGAAGGTTTGTTGTTTTGTTTTGTTTTTGAGACACAATTTTACTATATAGTTCAGGCCATTCGTGGATTCACTGTGTAGCCCAGACTGGTCTTGAACTTACGATCCTCTGGCCTGAGCCTCTCAAGTACTAGGATTACTTAAGTTTCATTAGTTCTGTCTCCTGCCTTTAATAATTGTTTGACTTTTGTTTTTCCGGTGCTGAGAATTGAAACTTGGGCCTCATGGTGTGCTAGGCAAGTTGCTGTACCACTGAGCTATATGCTGTCCCTGATTTTTGTTGTTCTGGAGATGGAATGAAGGTCCTCACAAATGCTAAGCATGTGCCCTATTATTAAAATAAGTGTACTTCTTTGCAGGGGAACTTTTTTAGAAAACATTTACCTAATGTATAAATACAGATTCCCATGTTTAAAAATTCATCATCTTTATACTTACATTTTATATAAAAAGTGGGGGAAGATTTTAAAGCTAAACAGTGGGGAAGATTAAGCTACTTTGCTAATCACCTAATATTGTGTCCAGGCAGGTAAATGAATAATAGATACTGAGAGGATGTTCTTGGGGCTCCCTTAGGGGCACACGGAAATCTACTGAGTCAGCCTAGGATTATAATTACAGGCTTTGAAAGGCAGAAGAGAATTACTTTGAAGATTTCAAGGACTTCCTGTGTATTCCTTTGGGTTCAGAAAGTCTTAAGAGATGACAGATGTGGTGCACACTTAGAACCCCAGCACTTGGGAGGCTAAGGCAGGAAAATCATTGTGAGTTCAAGGCAGCTCAGGCTAGGCTACAAAGTGAGTCCAAGACCAATCTGAAATGCATAGTGAAAGCCTGTCTCAAAAAAAAAAAAAAAAAAAAAAAAAGACAAAAAACCCCAACAAACCTCTGAGGAGAAAATTTATAGCTAAATTATTTAGAATACATATTTATTAATGTGTATATATAAACAATCTTACATACATGTTATATATTTTTTCTAACTGTAAATATTTAAAAATCATGGGCCTGGGATTTAGCTCAGCGTATGCCTGGCAAGCGCGAGGTCATGAGTTTAATTCCCGGTCCAAAAAAAAAAAAAATCACATGCCTGCAATCCTAGCTATGAAGGAGGTTGAAGTGGGAAGATTGTTTGAGCTCAAGAGTTCGAGTCCAGTCTGGGCAACATAGTGAAACTCCCAGCAGTTAACTAAGAAGTTGTGGGTTTATTTTACTTTTCAGTGCTAGGGAATCATGCATAGGGCTTCATGCATGTTAGGCTAATGCTGTACTACTGAATTAAACCTCCCGAGCCCAACAAAAGCTATTTATAATCACACCTTTGAGGGAGCTCCTCACTGATCTTTTTAACCTCCTTTCTTCTGTGTACTGTTTTACATTGAGACTATAATGAAGTTACAATTTTGAATATTGATTTTTTTTTTTTACTTAGTATACTATTTCTCAAGGCAATAAAAGACTTCATGAGCAAATATTTATGGTGATTTTTTAGTTTTTTATTACTCATTTCCATATCATTTATGAAGTTTACTGTTAAACTATTCAAACTTTATTATCAAATATATAATAGAAACTTTATTATATGTCTTCTGTCATCAGGGTAGTACTGCAGGAATCAGGAAAAAAGCAAAGCAAACATCCAGAAGGCATTTGATACGCTTATGCTTTCTTAGTTCAGTGCTTTCACTGATTTATAATTTGTAAATATTCACTTTGCTAACATGCCATAATAGTCACTTTACTGTCTAGTAATCTAAGAGAAAAAATTAACTCCTTTTCTCTCCTACTGCAGGTGGGTGGAGGCAAAGTAAAGAAGCCTGGCAAACGTGGTCGGAAGCCAGCCAAAATTGACTTGAAAGCAAAGCTTGAGAGGAGCCGGCAAAGTGCAAGAGAATGCCGCGCCAGGAAAAAGCTGAGATACCAGTATTTGGAGGAGTTGGTATCTAGTCGGGAAAGAGCCATATGTGCCCTCAGAGAAGAACTGGAAATGGTAAATTCTTGCAGTAAATGCATCAAAAAAATCAATCTCCATTTAGCAAAGAAATGCACATTAAAACATCAAGATATCAGCTTTCAGCCATCCACTTAGGCAAACAACAGAAAGAATATTAATCTGTTAGCCAGGATGTAGGCAAAGACATTTTCATGCAGAACTTGGGATCAGAGTGGGCATGACTATTTCATTGACCAAAGTCTCAAGATAAAAGAAATGGAGAATAACCCAGGTAGTGCAACAATGGGAGATGACTCAGTAAATTATACTCTTCATATAATTGCACTTCTTTCTAGTCAGTAAAATCACAGTGCACACTCAGTGCCGACTGACAAAAAGATGTTCATAATGTAGTGAGGAAAGCAGCATAGCAGTACTGTAACTGTCCAAGGTATGATACCATTTGCTTTAAATGAACTTATTTTTTTTCCATGTTTTATTAATTTGTTCATTCAGACTTTGGGTTGTGGCTGAGAAATATAAAAAAGAGCTAAAACAATTAAAATCCCATTATTAGAGGCTCAGGAAGGAGGTGAAAGATAGGAGAAAAAAGAGATGGTATTACCATGATCATTACAAATCATTTTAAAACAGATTACCTCAAAGTTTTAAAAAGTAAGAAAATAAAGGGAGGAGACACAAAGAAGGATGTGAATAGTGCATATATCGTCTACATACATAGCTGAGTTTTTAGTTGAATTTGTCCTATGACATAAATTTCTTTTTCTTTTCTTTCTTTCTTTTTTTTGGTTTTTGTTTTGTTTTGTTTTCTGAGACAAAGTCTTGCTATGTAGTCCAGGCTGGCCTCAAACTTGCAGTGATTCTCCTGCCTCAACCTCCCAAGTGCCAGAACTATAAATGATTTCTTTTCTGCAGTATAAGCCACTTGGCAGAATCTTTGGTGTTCTTTATCTTGTATTTTTCCGTGTCCATAGTACAGTATCTCTATCATACACCTAACAGTAGTATATATGTCTACTACCTAGTAGATGCTTAGTGAATGTTTGTGAAAGAGAAAATGGAAATTAAAATGTCTTTATTTTGGTAACAAACAAAATACTGTCTGTAACACTTACAAAAATGAGGTAAAATCTAATTAATGGACTGTTTTTAATCTGACCAAAACTTTACTATATCACAAAAGATTCAACAGCAGTTTTTCTAGCCTTCTGAAAGACAGCAGATCTCATACAAGTCCTACATGATTAACAGGTCATATCACAATGTGTGCGATCCTCAGCAGCCCACTCACTGGACTCTAGTCCTGTCCAGGATTTTTACCAGTGTTTCCTGAAATCTATTAACATTTTTACTTACATATACTTTATATATTTCAGTACAAGCAGTGGTGCATGGCAATGGACCAAGGAAAAATCCCTTCTGAAATTAAGGCTCTCCTTACTGGAGAAGAGCAGAACAAATCTCAACAGAACTCAACCAGGCACAGCAAACCTGGGAAACCAGATGTTAACAGCAACTCCTGTGAGTACAGTCTGTGGGAGGCTATGCTTAAGAGATGTATCCAGGTAGGGTTTCTGTTGACATTTTCTTGGTATGTCTTTAAATAAAGTTAGCTGTTGATGTTGTTTGTAATACACTTATAAGCAAATGAAATGATACTAGATTCCAAATATTGTACATGAGTTCTGGAAAAGAGTAACCGATAAATTTTATGGAAATTTAAAAACTAAATAGTGGGAATGGCACTAATCTAGTTGTTGTTAATAATACTAACTTTTGGCTGGAGATTTAGCTCAGCGGCATAAGGGCCTGCCTGATAAGCACAAGGTCTAGTGTTCAATCCCTGGTATCAAAGACAAAAATGCTAACTTTTATTTGAATTTTTTTTGATAGCTTACAAAGTACTTTCACCTACATTTATCTTAAATATTTACTCCAATAATTGTATTAAAGAACTGTATTCCTTGGGCTGGGAGTATAGCTCAGTGGTAAAACATAATTTGCATGTGTGAGGCCTTGGCCTCAATCTCCTGTACCACAAGAAAAAAAAAAAGGATAATTCTCATTTTATACTTTTTGTCCAAAAATTTATGGCTTGGACCAGGGATTTAGCTTAGTGACTGACTGGTAAGTGCAAGGTTGTGAGTTTGATCCCTATACCAAAAAAAAAAAAAAAAAAAAAATTATGGTTTTGTTCTTTTGTTTAGATTGTTAATCCATTGGGAGTATATTTTCTTTATGGTGTAAATTCAGGATCTATGTATTACACATGTGTATATCCAGTTGTCCCGGCATCATTTGTTGAAGAAACTGTCAAGATTTTAGAATGAAGAGGGTAGGTGTTTTCCTCACGATTGTGATTACTCCAGAGCACTTGAAATAATCTGAAGGAAATGTCTGCTCTGGGAATTTTTTTTTTTTATGATGGTGTGGATCAAACCTATAGTTGCCACAGGCCACGCAAACTCTTTACCATTGAGCTACCCACCTCCAGTCCTAATTTTTTTTCCCTCCAATCAGATTTTATTGGTACATTTTAGATATATATAATGATCATATTCATCATAGAGAATTTCTACCTATGCATGATATAACTTGTTTCTTTTTTCCCCATTCCCCTATCCTCCCTTCAACCTCTCCTTCTCTTTATTTATAGAAGCTTTGTTTTAATTTTTTCCCCTGTTGTTTTTTTTCTTTTTCTTTCCTTCCTTTCCTTTCCCCCTTCCCGCTCCTTTATCCCTTCCCAATTTGAACATTTTCTTTCTGTTTCATGATACCTATTATACATTTTGGTCCTTATTTATACTTTTGGTTTCTCACACCAGAGAAACAAAGCAAGTATTTATACATGTGTGTTTAATTTATTTCACTTAAGACAATGGTCTCAAGGTGCATTCATTTACCTAGAAATGTCTTGAGCTTATCCTTCTTTGTGGCAGAGTAGTACTCTATTGTATAAAAAAAGCCTACATCTTCTTTATCGATTCACTAGTTGATGGGCATTGGGACTGTCTCCAAGATTTGGCTATTACAAACTGCCATTATAAACATGGGTGTGCATATATCACTATTGTATGATGCTTTTAATTATTTCAGGAAGATATCAAGAAGTGGAATAGCTGGGTCAAATGGGACCTCGAATCCTAGTTTTATGAGGGATCTCCACACTGATTTCTACCGTGGTTGCACCAGTCTAGACTCCTACCAAGAGTAGAGAATGGCTCCTTTTGCCCTACACCCCATGAGCATTTTGTTATTGGTTGATTTCTTGATAATAGCCATTCTTTCTCCCCTGCTCTAACAAAATGTTAACAACATGTCATCTTTTAAAATTTTTTATGTTGGGCTGGGGATTTAGCTCAGCGGCATAAGCACCTGCCTTGCAAGCAGGCAGTCGTGAGTTCGATCCCCAGTACCAATAAAAAGGAAAAAGACCAAAAAAAAAAAAATTTTTTTTATGTAATTGAAGGAATTTGCTTTTTGATAATTTTTATTAGATGAAGTAATATTGGACCTTAATCTAAAAATAATCTTCCTATTGATACTATCTCCTCCCTAATTCATATATTTAAAAACAGAATAACCAAACTTTGTTGACTTTCTTTTTTTTTTTTTGTCTTTTTCCTTTTTATCGGTACCAGGGATCGAACTCACGACTGCCTGCTTGCAAGGCAGGTGCTTATGCCGCTGAGCTAAACCCCCAGCCCGTTTGTTGACTTTCAAAGCATTCTTACAATGGTGAATTTATCGTTTCAGGGTGAAGATCATATCAAAGGATGAAACAGTGATTGAAGCCAATATTCTATTTCCATGAAGGATGAATAGGCACTATTATGCTTCTTGGCACGATGTACTACCTACTGCTCAGTAGCTGTCTCCATAAATCTGCAGTTTGTACCAAAATGTGTAATCATAGGTCACAAAAGATCTTGCTTTAACTTTCAGCACTTAGAAACTTTACATTCAGACCTATGCTGTATTACTATCCATGACATATACTAGGTGGTGAGGCTTGAAAGCACAGTAGTAGAGAAAAATGGGTAAAGATTGTATTTTTGCACCTTAACTTCACATAACTTTATTGGTTAATTTATATTCTTAACGTGTAATTCATGTAATTGTATGTGTATATGTGTTTAAGTGTCTGCTCCTTTCATGTTTTTGACTGCCCTACAAAGAGAAACCAAATGGGCTGATTACTGACTGTAAATTCTCAGCCTTTATGGACCTAATATTATTTCTTTATATTTACTTGAGTAATGTTTATTTTCTGCATGAACCACAATTTCTTCTGTGAGCCATTCCAGCATAAGCTGTGAATATGTATTGACAAATATGTACATTTCTATTTTTTTAATCCATAGTGAAATGCCTGTTTTAAACAATGTATATTACCAAAATCCATCAAGAAAACCCTTAAGATATCTTCTATGTAAAACTTTTGTTGCTGTCTTCTTATTAAACTATATTTATAAAAGTTTGCTAGGGCCAAATCCATACTTGGAGAATTAATCAAATTTTGTTCTTAAGCAAGAAGTAACCTTTCAGGCATTGCAACAGCATACATCACATCGACAGCCTAGAATATATGTATACATATGTGTGTGTTTCTATTGTGTTTCTATTGTGTATTTATATATGCGTATGGGAAGGACAGGAGTGAATGTTCACACACATTTTCTTGTGTGCTTTACTAGATTGGAGAATTTTTCTGAAGAAAATAGGATGAAACTAGCTGCTGCTGAGATTGAGTTTTTGCCTTGAGATCTAGAGCAAAACAAAGGGGCAAAGCAGTGGGCAGATTTAGTGGCTCTAGCCCTTAGCAGATACTTGATGTCTTCCCGAATATGGGTTTCCTTATGAATGTGTCCTACACCTAAAAGAAACACACTGTGGGTGTGCATCTGGTTCAGCCCATGCCTCCACTGTGGAGCTCGGCATTGGTACTAGAGTTGTACACAGCTAGCAGGCCTCAGGGAGGTGTAGAAGGGCAAAATAGTTCTTTGTAGTTCTCAGCAGAGCTGCATTTGCTATCTACCTGACCGCCAAGCAGACTGATGGTTGAGGAACAAAGCTCATATGATACGGACAGATAGACCTAGGAATATTTTCATTTTCCCAGTGAGATGCGTTGTCACTCTCTTCCCTTCCCCATAGTTAAATGAGGAGTCATGTTCTCTGTTGCTGCTAAATTAGAATTGTTCTTCACTCTAGTGAAGCAAATACTTAGCTTCCAAACAAGATATATTTTGTTATACATAGACTGGCAGTTTAAGAGGAGGCACTGTAGCTTGTCTGTGAGGTGGAACATGTGATGGACCATATAGTTTAAGATTAGAGGAACTTTTCCCCCTTTCTCTCAGGCCAGGCTTTTGACTTAGGTGCCTCTCCATAGTCTGAGTTCCTGAAGACCTCTTCTTGTGCTTCGGCTGAAAACTCAGATCTGCAGGCTAGCTCAGTGTGACTACTGATATACCACCAGCCCAGCTTGTTGAATTTTTTGAAATTTTGAGAGATTGGGAGTTTAAGCGTATTTAATTAATGTCTTCTTAGGACCATAATTATTGATATTCAGGCATTCAGAATTTAAATGTTTTAAGTGTAGCTATTTAAATTGTAATTGGGCATGTATTTGCCCTATTGTCTACTCAGTTTTGTATTTTTATTTTGCAAAACAGTTCCCACCAGACTGACAACTGACGCTATGTTGCTTTGGTTCAGTACCTTTTGAATTCCCCAGAGGAGGTCTTTTCAAAGCAAACATTCCAAAATGCATGTGGCTCTTCAATGGAATGTCTCCATTGTGCTTGAAGGATTTCTTCTCTGGTTATAATTGAGTTACAGAGTCATTTGAGCTTCTTCCCTCCTCCCCTAGCATCCTTACCAGAACAGTGACTTTGTCCTCAGGTAGAGGATATGTAATTTTGCGGGGAAAATAAGTTACCATTTATTTATATTTATTCCTGAACCTACTTGGTAATTTTTTTTTTTTTTTTTTGTTTTTTTTTTTGGATACCGGGGATTGAACTCATGACTGTGTGCTTGCAAGGCAGGCACTTATGCCTGCTGAGCTAAATCCCCAGCCCCCTACTTGGTATTTTGGAGTAGATCAAATCAAAAGAATGTTATGATCGCTTTGGGTACTGACTAAACGCTTTGGCCACTTTGAAGACTGTTAATGAATATCCCTAAGACAGCTGGCGCTAACCCCATGCAGCGAAGACACAAGCAGCACGCTAGAGCCCTCGCTCAGCTGTGATGACAGCAAAGTGGTGAGAGAAACCAAGGCTGCCTGCCTGCCGGCCGAGGGAACCCTCTGAGTCAGATTTTCTTTTCCTTTTTTCCCTGAAGAAAGAAAGGAAAGGAGCAAGGAGGTAGGGAAATGTTTGTGTATTTAGATCATTCATATTATTATTTTAGCATCAGCTTCCCATATTTTAGAGAAACTGAATGTAATAAATCTGACCAGGTTAAGTTTTAGGATACAGTTGAAGTGCTTAAATTTTTTTCTATTTTAACCAATCTTTCTGCTACATCTAAATCAGAACTTTCTTTCTGCAGCAAATTCGTATCATTGTTTGCCAGCTAATTGACAGGACTTAGCACCACCATTTAGCATTTTATCTTGTTATCATCGAATTCTGATAAATTTGATTTGATTTATTACAGAAAATATAGGTTTAAACTGAATTTACCTTTAGTTAAAGAAAAATAAAACTTAAAAAAATAAATGCTGTTTTCACAAGAAATTAGTCGCATATTAGTTACATATTTTGTTTTTTTTAAAGGAGGATTGTTAAACCACATGTTTGGGGGCACTGAAAGAACTTTTCTTTCTCTGAAGAGCATTGTACAATTATATTTTTATGAAAAATAAAATGTCTTTACCAGAGGCATCTCAAATTGTCTGTGTTATAATACTGAAGTATATATATATATAAACCTACACTAGTAAAAAGGGAGATAAATATAGATAGAAGAATTAGATCTGGGTCCCTTTTCTCAGTCACCTTGAATTATTTTAATCCTGTGTCTTCATCTGTAAAAAAGGGAGAGAATAACTTTTATAGAGTAATTGGCAAGCTACAAAGGAGTTAGGAGAAATTGCTTGTTAAATAGCACCAAACTACATTAAATTTAAATATTCACATTATGTTTATGTTTCACTATGGTGAGGATTTAAGTCATTAGAGATAAATATATTTAGCTAGTGAATGGGACTGTAATGTTGTAGATATCATATTTCCCAAGGTTTTTTAGCTGTGTTATTATATCCATCCTTGGGATGGTAAAGTAAGAGGCTCTTTTTAGCTGTAATAGCCTTATATTAATTAGGCTAATTTTAAGAACAACTAATTTCCAACTGGCAATATTATCCTGTAATTATCTGCATAAAGTATGTTTTCAGGCTGCTATGTAAGTTGGGTTTTTTCCCCCTATTTCATTTGTTTTACTGAACTACAGACTGGTCATGAATCAGAGCCAGGATTGCCATATAAGGCTGTGCTGATTGTGCACTGCAGAAAGGCAGCCGATTAAGGAGGTAAATGGGCCTAAAATGTAGTTTACATTCCTCTCAACAAATCATGTGTGGAGGGAGAGGCACGTGCCACCTGCTCATCAAGGTGTGAGTGCGCGGCACAGGTCTGCTCACACTCAAGAGGTGGCCTTTGAAATTTGCCCAAAGAGGGTACTGTGCTTAATTCCTCCATTTAGCCAGGGGGTACACCCTTTTTTTTTTTAAGAGTAGGAAAGGTTAATTGGAGAATAAGAATAGCTTCTAAGAGACAGAAGTAGTCTGAAGTAAGTTGCCTCTAAGGCTCTTTGTCAGGAGTAATTTATACAGCAAAATCACAATGTGAGTACAAGGTATGTCAAACTATAGTCAGCCCATAGGATTACAGGTATAGCTGCTTAACTAATACTGATCCAATAGGGAAGCAGGGCATGTAGCAAGGTATATATGGCTGACATCATTAACCCTCAAGGGGTACCTTTATGAAAGAGGATATAGAAAACAATGGTATTTCACAGTTGACTTTTGCTGGTTTCTTAAAGGAGAGCCAATTACGTACATCTCTTCTCAGTTCCATGTTCAGAGATGGTAGGTGGGTATCTTTAGTCAGCAATGGCATAGAAGTACTTACATTGTACATGTCATTTTATCAGGGGAAAAAACCTGCCCTAGAAACACCCTCAACAAATTTATTTTTACATCTCATTGTAAAATAGGTGGCTATCTCTATACCTACTGCAGTCACTGGCAAGAGGGAGGAGCCTAATCATTCCACACCTGAACAAAATCAATGTTCTATTAGCACAGGAGAAATGGATAAGAAGCTATGGTTTAAATATGAAGCATCCCGTAAAGACATTTGTATTGAAGGCTTGATGTCTTATGCAGCAGTGTTCAGAGGTGAGGTCTACGGAGGTGACTGGATCATGAGGACATCAGATTAATCCACTGAGGACAGCATAATTTGATGACAATATTGGGAAGTGATGGAAATAGGGTTTGGAGCCTATTTGAAGAAAGTGGTATGAACTTTGGGGGTTATATCTGGTGTCTGACCCTTTTCCATTTTGACTTTCACCTTTGTTCTGCTTCCTGGCTGTCATGAGGTGAGCAGTTTTCCTCTGCAACACCCTCGTGGTATGATTCTTGCTACAAGATTAGAAGCAATGGAGCCAGAAGACCAGGGACTGAAACTTCTGAAACTGAACCAAAATTACCTTTCCTCTTTTAAGTTGTTTATGGGAGGTATTTTCTCACAGTAATGAAAAGCTTACTAACATAAACATCTGCTATCATTATCTCCCACAACCAATGGATGTGGTGTAATTAGCTATCTATGGGATAAACCAAGAGTTGTAAAGTAAAAAATGACTGGTCTTTGGCAGAACTCCCTAAATTCCAATCTAGGTGAATTTAGTAGTAGTAAAAGATGAATTTGTCTCATACTTTCAGAGGATTCAGTCCACAGTTACCTGTCTGCAAGGCAGAAACAGTATGCCAGAAGGGCCTGACCAAAGTAAGCAGTACAACTCAGGGCCTCCTGGAAGCAGAGAGATGAGCCAGTGCCAGAGGAAGGGGCCAGGGACCAGATATGGAACCCAAAGTCCTGCCTCTGTGGTCCACCCAGACCCACCCAGAAATGTGCTTTACTAATCCCTTAGACAGCTCCTAAATCAATCAAATAGACAGTTAAGCTCCTCAGTCGCATGCTCCAAAAGGTACATGTTACTTTTTTCCACAGTTGCCCCAAACACCTCACAGCCAGCTACAGCTATATCAGACACCATATTTGCTTTGGCTGCACAACTTTTAGTCAAAAGTCCATCCCGGATGACTCCACCCCATGCCTGTCTAGATAGTGCCCTTCTGCAGCCTTCCTCAGTCAGGTCTGTGAGGACACCCCCACTACCATGCCTAAACAGAAAGCCTAACATTGTACATGCACAGACCTGCCTTCTGTTCCTATGTAAGCAAACTCCCCTCACTCTTTTTTTTTTTTTTAAGACTAGTCAAGTGCAGTAGTGAGAAGGGGGGAAAGAGTAGAACAAGGAGTTCAATCTGTACTGACTGTGAACAATCAATTGAGATAACTCACTACCTTCGGACCAGCCTCCCCTCACTCTTGGCAGGTCAACTCATGCACTCTCCCCCTCACCCTACAGCACAAGACCTAACAAAGTCTCCTTTGAATGGCAAATATATTTTTACTTTTTTCAAATCCATTTTATTTCACAGAGAAAAAAAAAAGAAAAAAAATTCAAAACACAACAATCAGGAGACAACAATGGTACATACATCGTGTATTGTGAATGGCCTATTTTTTCCTTGTTTGATTTCCTCTTCCCTTCCTTCTCCTCCTTTTCCTTCTCTTCCTTCTTCCTCTTTTTCTTCTCCTTCCCCTTTTTATTTCTCCTCCTTCTCTCTTGCTCTTTTTTTTTTTTTTTTTTGAGACAAGATCTCACTTTGAATTCAAACTGACCTCAAACTTGCAGCAATCTTCCTGCCTCAGCCTTCTGAGTGCTGGGATTATAGGTGTGCACCCTCACACTCAACTCTCCCACTTGATTTCTACCTTGAGTAGAGAGACTGGAACATTAACAGCTAGTTGGCCCCCAAAGCAGTCAGTAGTTCAGGTTCACAACACTGACAGACTAGCTGCAGTGCTGCCTAGCAGGTACCTAGCAGCAGAGAATATTAGAGAATTGCTGGCAACTGCCATTTCTAGTCACCAGAAGTTTCCAAGGACTGTCAGTAGCTGCTGGCTCTGGCTGCCAGGAGAGTGATAGGGGGCAGCAAATACTAGGAGCTGATAGCTGAGGGCATCCTATGCTTAGGGCTGGGAACACTAAAAGAGATATACTTTGCCTATTCATGATTTCTGTCTAAATTGAACAAGAGAACCATCAGCTAACTGATAACACTACTGCATATAGTTTATAGCTTCTTTATTATTATTATTATTATTGATTTTTGAGATGCTAGAGATTAAACATAGGGCCTTGTGCATGCTAGGCAAATGTTCTATACTGAGCTACATTCCCAGTCTGCTTATGACTTTTAAAAACTCATATTGCGACAACTGGCCAGTATTACGGAAAAATAAACTTTTATCTCCCATTTTAAATAAAATACTTTTTCACTTAGCAAAATAAATTCTACATGTCCAAAGATTTAAACATTTCACACAATAAAACTGAAAATACTAAAGATGAAAACAAAAAAAAGATGGCAAGTTAAAAAAAAGTGGGGAGAGCTTTTTAGCCAAGACCCATTTGACTCATAAATCTGGCTACACAACAGTAATGCGAGCTGGGTAGCATGCTTGCGTAGCATGTGCAAGCACCACACATACACCTGCACAACACACACATACACACGTCATACTGTCTGCTTAAAAGAAATACTATAATAAAGTATTAAAGGACATGATAAAAATAGACAGCTGCCACGGGGAATGTGAAGTCAATCAGGAAGTAAAACCATGGCTTCCTGTGAGCCAAGGGCAGTCACCATGGAGAATGGGAAGAGAATCAAGGAGCCAAACCAAGGGCCACGGAAATAGCTCCACAGTATAAATACCTGCCTAAAAAGCGCAAGGTGGTTCTGAGTTCATAGCCCCCCTCCCCCCCAAAAAGAGGCCAAATCATGTCTTCCTGTGAGTCAGGAGCAGCTGTCATGGGGAACAAGAAGAGAATCATGAAGCCAAACCATACCTTCCTGTGAGCCAGACAGTGCTCAGACTGGGAGATGACAGCAACACACACACACACACACACACACACACACCATAAGCAATGGGCTGAAGTAAGAAATAAAAAATATAATGCTTATTTGTTCACTTTGGCTTAAAGATGGTAGTCTGAGCATCTGTTTGAAGGATAACAATATGCATTATAGCAACTGTAGGGGATTTCCTTCTGTCTTGTTTTTGAAATCCAATGTTTTGTTCTGTTTTACTGTTTTGTTTCATTCCTGTATCTGGTAACCTGAGCAACTATTTTGAAGATAGCAGTATGCAATATAACAACCATTGCTAAATTCCTATATTGTTTTGAAAACCTATATAGCTATTGTTGTTTTTGGTTGTTGTTGCTGTCATTTTGCTTTGTTTGTTAGTTGGTTGGTTTGCTTCTTGATTTTTCTGTTTTATCTTCAAAATTAAAAATGATAAAAATAATCTGCCTTACAATGAAAGACAAAGAGCAACTTTCTTTAATCATCAGAGCACTGTTTTGCAAGCAAAAGTGGTTGGTTTAGCCAGGTGAACATGTCAGGCCAATAAGAATCAAAGAAATTTGATTGAGCAACTTTTGTGAGTTCTAGAAAAAACAATTTGTTCTTTCCTGCTGGGCTTGGCATTTGAAAAGTTGGAGGACCAGAACTGCTGTCCCCAAGTGCTCCATTAAAGCCATTCAAGGTAGAGCACAAGAGAGAATGGACTCTCATTATGTTGGGCCTGGAATTCAGTTTTTCCTGATGCTCTGCATCCACAGTTCTTACTGTGCTGGTTCATTCTCTTTTGATTTAAGCTAATTTGGATCTGTCACTTCAGATCAAGAATGACTTAACTAATGTTCAATTCATTCTTTAAAAAAAGGACACGAAAGAATTACTTTTAAACATAAAAAGTTACTCAACCTCACTCATAAGTAAATATATGTAAAATAGATAGCCCGTATCAATCTGATTGGGAAAGCTAATAAAGGTTAACCGGTAGTTTGGGGGAAATTTCATATATTATTGATGGGAATGAATCCAGCTGCCATGGGTGACAGGGGTGCAAGATTTTGAGGCTAATTTGAATAACATCTATCAAGTGACAAAATACACTTTGGTCCAGCAACTTCACTTATACAGATCATGGGCTTTATTAGTTCTTGTGCTCTAACATACCTAAAAAGGACATTTTCTGCTACATGCCCAAGAGAACGCAAGACTGAAAAGAATTTAAATGGTCACTAATAAGAGGATGGTCCAATTATGGCACAAGATTATGGATAGAATACTATGAGTCATAAGAATATACCGATATGGAGTGATCCTTAAGATTTAACAAGTTTTAAAAAATGAATAGTTTGTACAATACATTTTTAATTGTATTTTTTAGAGGTATGGTATAGTCATATACTTGCTTTTATATGTTAGACTATTTCTGGATTTATAAGGATTTTTTTTTAACAAAACTAAAAATTCTTTTACCTCTAAAGAGGGGTACTGGGAAACAAGAAATTCAGGAAAATTGAAAAATTTACTTTTTAGTACTTGCGATTCTCTTGCTGTGGTAGACAGCTAAAATGAACTCCAGTGATCCCTGCTCTCCTGGCATTCACACCTTTGAGTAATCCCCTTCTCATGAGTATAGGCAGAATCTGTAACTTGCTTTTGACTAATACAACACAGTGAAGGAGACTGGATGTCACTTCTTGGTTACATAAGACAGTCACCTTTGCCTTGTAAGCAGTCTCTCTTTTTTGATGGCCTTGAAGCAATCTACCATACTATACAGGTCCATATGCAAGGATGGCTTCCCGCCAGCACTCATGAAGGAACTGAGACCCCAGTGCAACAACCACTGATGAACTGAATTCCCCTAACTATGTATGTGTAAAGGCAGGTCCTGCTTCAGGCGAGCCTTCAGATGAGACCTCTGGCTGATCAACTCACTGCTGCCTTAAAAACCAGAAAATGCAGTTAAGCCCATATCCAGGTTCCTCACACAGAACATCTGAGAAAATAAATATGTTATTTTAAGCTGACAAATGTAGGGGTAATTTGTTATGCAACAATAGATGACTAAAATAGCCGTTTAATTTTCTTTTAAATTTACACTGCATATTTAATTTTAAATTAGTTAAAAATCCCTCTAAAATAACAGAAAAAATTCTAACCCATCTTCCTTTTTTTCAGATTCCATATTCATTAAGCAACTTACACATTATATTTCCCCAAACTGGTAAGAGTATGCCCAAATAAGTCATCTACACATACTAGTCATTAGAAAAGCATATATCCCCTTGTACAACAGTATACTGGTCCTTTGGTTAATGTACTTGAGTCTTGTTTCAGGTAACTAGGGAGAAGAAAATCAACCTTCATATAGAACTGATCAGCTCTGGGGCACATGAGACCACTGGAGTAATTCCACCAAGATCGTAAATCCTGAGGCCTTTGATAAATTCACTGATCCTGCAGCAACCTCCTTTTTACCTGCTAAAGCTCTCACAATTTATATAAATCAACAATGAAAACAGCTGGAACAGACACTATTACAGAGCTCTACCTAGTTTGTTGAGGTCAATCAAGTTTTAATGTGTGGACTTACATTTTAAGTTGTGTGTTTCTTTTTCTTATTTAGGGTGGGAGGGCACTTCACACTAAGCTGCATTCATAGCATCTCTACCTTTATTTTGAGATAGGGTGTTGCTAAATTGCCTATTTTGGACTCAAACTTGAGCTCTTCCTGTCTCAGCCTGTCTCAGCCTTCCAGAGCACTGGGATTACAAGCATGTGCCACATACATGCCCAGCTAGGTGCAAGTTTCTTTAAAGCATGAAGCTGACAATCTTCTTAAATACAAGCAGAATTTTCTCTTTGTCTCCCAAGTACATACTAGACTCATACATCATTTAAAAAACCATAAAGTGGGGCTGGGGATTTAGCTCAGTGGCATAAGCGCCTGCCTTCAAGGCAGGCAGTCGTGAGTTCGATCCCCGGTACCGATAAAAAGGAAAAAGACATAAAAAAAAAAAAAAAAAAAAAAAAACAAACCATAAAGCAATTTTCAAGTTTCAAATTTTTTGGTAAGATAAAAGTTCTTTACAATACATATTTGTAAAATCAGTTTAAGCCTTTGTTTGGATTTTGCATTTTTCTCCCTGTCCACACCAATTACCAAGTAGCATTTTTTATTCTTGTTTTTAACACCTTGCCTTCACTTTCATGTTGGCTTCTGCTTTCAGCATAATTTTCTTATGGCTTAAGTGAAAATTTTTCATACAATTTTTCCACATTTTTGCTACAGTGGTAGCCTGTAATTATCCGTGGCTAAGAGATTTAAGTCACATTTCACTCACTTTTCATGTCCTACTAAAATGAATAGTCAGGGTATCAATCAAATCTAATTTCCCCCATTAGTGCTCCCTGTTGTAAAAGTACACATCCCCACAGGAGAGTGCTGATGAAAGTCTACATTCCTACGCATCCTTTGCACCCTGACTTTACCATTCCTTCTTTAAAAATGTTTTGAGGAGGGGAAAGAAATGATCCTTTGGAATGAGTGGAGAACAGAAGTAGATCCACCACCTACCTCCCTTCCACACAAGTTCCTGCTCCCAATTTTTCTTCCACTTCAACTCTCTAGGATCTTAGTGGGGCTAAAAAAGCTACAGAAGGAAATCAAGGCTATAATTTGAGGAAGATATTAAAAGCATTTCTACTAGAGGTAGCACATTAGAGGGGCTAAATAACTGGGTTTGCAATGATTAAATTGTAACAGTAGGTAGCTTTTATTGGAAACTCACTTCAAAGTTTCCCAAAGGAGTTTTACACTCCTGTATCTAACTGTTGTTGGAAAACTGCCTGATACTGACTGTGTGCTGAAAACCAGACAATGTTATCAAATCTCCAGCCCTGCCTCATTATCCTGAAACCAGATACACAGGTGCTGCAGAGGTCTTATTAGAGGTCATTCCACAGCAGAACTAAAATCATGTGTCCTTCAAAATACAAATGAATTCAAATTATATAATCCTATCGTGTAATTCAGTTAGAGGTGATGGAGTCAGATATATAAACAATAAACAGCGCTTACTGTGTTCAGTTGTATAAAAAGTTCAAATGGTATACAGAACACTGGAGGTGAACCTGTGTCATGCGTGCCACAGCAGGCTGTGTGTATCACTGAAAGCTCTAAAACATTTGCCATCACTGGTTTACAGTACAGATGCTCCAAAAATGTTAAAAAGCCAGGTGTGATGGTGACACTATGCACCACCTCCCAGCTACTTGGGAGGCTGAGGCAGAAGGATCTCAAGTTCAAGGCAACTGAGACCGTCTTAAAATAAAAAATTAAAAAGTTTGGGATATAGTTCAGTGGTAGAGTGTTTGCCAATGCTGGATTCAATCCCTAACATTACAAAAATAAATAGTTTTAGATAAATGAGATGAGGCTAAAATGAATTTACCCTGAAATAAATCTAACAGCCTAGTTCCCAGCAGCGTATATGCTTCTCTGTGGAAAAACAGATTACACTGCTAAAAAGGTCCATGGATCTGAGTCAAACGAGAAAAGGAGCAGCCATGGTGCGTGCAGGTGGTGCTCCCGCCAGTTTGGTGGTCTGATGGGGCTTTTAAAAAATGATCACATTTATAGAATGGGCTGAAAACAATATTTTGACTAGTGATTTCATGTTTGTAAAGGGTATTGTTTGGGAATTTCCTCCAATGTTTAGAGGCTTTGTGTTTTGAACACACTGATTGATTAATTAATCTACAGCTGCTTCTGGGTGCTCGGCAATTTTCAGTCTCGTTGCTATGAGACAAGGACTGCTCTGAATTTGCCAATGTGACAGGCACGTGAAGAGCTGGCAGGCTCTGCCCACTAACCACAGTGCCCTCAAATGGGCATTCTGAAAAACTGCCAGGGAAAATACGTTTTTTTCCACTGTTCTCTAAGCGGCCCTCCTTTCCAGGTGAATTAGCAAGTTAAGTAAACAGTGGGGAATTGTGTATTCTTTTCAGATTCTGCACACAGTGAGGATTTTTTTTTTTCCTGTGACAGATGAGTAATGCTATAGCAATTAGAATGGCAAAGCTGAAAGGATGCTAACTGCTTGGTGGAAAACATTTTAGTTTGCCCCTAATTTCACCTCTTGGTCTGCCTCTTCTGTTAGAAAAGGCTCTAAATTCTTTGTTTCTTTTACATGTGGTCCTACAGAGGAGCATACCCTCAAAGCTAATTTGGTTTGTGTTTTCTCCCTTGAAATTGCTTATGCTGCTTAAAGGTGAATTTGAACAAATGGCAGCAAGGATGGATGGGGCAACAGGAGGGACTGTGACCACTGAGACAGGTAAGGTCATCAACCTAACCTAACAAAGGACTCTGCTCTGCATGTGCTTGGTGGAAGTGAGCATGAGTAAAACTGTCCTTTCTGAGCAAGAAGACAGGCCCATGTAAGTGTATCTGAGCAGAACGCGCTTGCTTCTCAGTTGCAGGTTGGTGGGATTAATGACTGCCCTGAGGTTTAGAAGAAGGAAGAGATGGACAGGTGATGCAAGCCTGTAATCCGTCCTTGGGAGGCTAAGGAAGGAGGACCGCTGCAAGTTCAGGCCAGCCTGAATTGCTTACTAAGACCTCATCTTGGGGAGTGGCGAAGGCACAGTCGGGGGCAGGGTGACAGAGAAATTGAAATACAAGGATGCTTGGCTCTTCCCCTGCAGGTTTGGGAGAACCTGCTGCCTGGTAGAGAACCCTTCTACTCTGAATCCTGGTCCTTCCTGTTACCCCCTTGCACCGTTTGACGGCTCCATGAACCCTGATGTGTGGTGCACCTCACTGGGATTATGTTCTTCTTCCCTCTGTTTGCCTGTCTCCCTGTGGGGTATTCTGGTTTTTGCAAAGTAAATACTGAGTTGTGGATGTTGTTCTTGTGTTGCAGTGACTAAAGATTCTGAGACTCTCTCTTACTTGGTTGTTACATGGAAAATTAAAAAAATTTTTTTCTACAGCAGTAGGATATATGAGGTTGTCATTCAAGTTTCCACCTAGTGAGGTAAAATTAAAGAACATTAAAGACAGAATGGTGTTTAGTAATCATCTAGTGTACCTCCTTCAGTTTAAGCTAGGCCTAAAAATAAAAGTATAAAATTTTTACAATCTAACTTTTTTTTTTTGTCTTTTTCCTTTTTATTGGTACCGGGGATCGAACTCACGACTGCCTGCTTCCAAGGCAGGAGCTTATGCCGCTGAGCTAAACCTCCAGCCCCACAATCTAACTTTTTAAAAAAAAAACTACTGCAGGAGTCTTGTCTACTTTCTAACAAGTCTGAACCATAAAATGTCAGAGTTAAAGGAGATAAATATCTGATTCAGTTTGCCAAAAAGAATGTGAGAAAGATACAAAGAGAGAAAGAAAAATATGAGATAATTCTTTTTTTTAATCTCTTGAATTTGATTAAAGGGAACATCTCAAGAGCATAACTCTTTAGATATTGAAAACCTGAGTTCAATCTCTAGTACATGTAGAGTTCTAGATTTTGGTTTCTTTCTCTCTCTTTTTTTTTTTTTGAACCAGGATCTTACCAGGTAGTTCAGGCTGGCCTTGAACTCATGGCAATCTTCCTGCCTCAGTCTCCCGAGTGCTGGTATTACACTATATCTGGCTGAGTTCTGGATTTTTTTCTTCAGCCTTAGAACTCTACCATGATAGTCATCAGGAGGCTAAAAAAGGCATGGCTGGATATAACCACTCTTGCTCTTTATAACAAGACATTTGTTCTTTATAAGAACAGGACATTTGAAATTTCAAGGAGAGAGTCCAAACTTGCTGTTAGAGTACCTGAGTCTGAATGCCAGCTTTGTCACATCCAAATTTGGGACAGTCACATTACTTTTGAGTTCATTTCCTTATCCATAAAACAAATGATAATACATCACAGAATTATTGAGGATAAATGAGCTAATGCATGTAAAACTGATTATTTGCAGGTCATGTTAACTAGGGCATGAAAATGCACACCAGTCTTGTCTGTAAGCCCTTTATTATTTAACAGAAAACATTTCCTAAATGAAGTGGTCCTAGAAAATTAAAATCATGGAGACCTGGGAACTATAGAAAAGTCTCGAGTTATAGGCAATGGAAGAGTGTGAGTCTGGCTGGGGTGTAGTGCTGTGACTTGAAAGGAGATGAAGAGAAGGAAGAAAGGAGAAGACGGTCGTTGTCCTTTCTGTCCTGGTTCTGTCCTGTCCTTTCTGTCCTGGTGATAAGGCTGGGCAGCTGAGGATCACTGAATTACAGAGCACAAAGAAATATCATCTGTCATTCCCCTTTTGACATTTTTGGACATGCCTAGCAAGAGCATCTGCTCATCTGCTTGTGTGTAATACAGAGAAAGAAGGTTAGGCAGCCTGGATGGGTCCCAGATGTGAGGAAAACATCACACTGAATTTGGAATTTTCAAGACCCCATCAGTAGCTTTGATTAAAGGATGAAATCAAGAGAGAGAAGCTTCAACAAGACATAATGCATTTTTTCACCAAGAATTCTGATTAAAACCCAATCATAAAAGACTTTCCAGCAAGTTCCAGTATATTGTAATATATGAATTGCTTTTCACAGCAGATCTGGCTAGTGATTACTTGGAAGAAAGTAATATGAAAATATATTCAGTATTAATTCCTCCTTGAATGCTTAAAGAAATAAATACACATTCCCAAAATGTAAAACATGAAGGATTTCACTGAAACATAAGCCCATAGTTATAAAAATTCAATACATAAAAGGAAAAGAAAATAGAATAAAACAGGGTGGAATCATTAACCAAAGACTGTGTCCTAATGATCAATAAAAGGTAAAAAGGAATTTTTTACACATCTCAACTAATATAGTAAAATGATGACCATAGTTAAGGTGAATGCTTTTCCTAAAACAAAAAGCAACTAGTACAAAAGTCACAAAACTATAATCAACAAATGAATGCATTTTACAAAGTAACTCAGAAAGTTGAGTGAAAAAATATGTAAATAACTTGTTTTATAGTTAATGCTTTTTAATCTCCAGAGCATAACAATAAGTAAAAGAATTCTGAGAATTTAGACAAAAGTATTTGGTGGATTTGAGTTAATGGGCCAAGCAAGCTTCTTTTCCTTGGCTTCTCTGTCAAATGAATCATAGATTGAGTCTTTGGTTATAGTTATGGCCATGGGAGGGATTTCTGAAATACCAACGTAGTTTTTTTTGGCCATCCTTGAACTTGTTGTAATAGTATAGGCATTGCTTCGATAACATTTCATTGAGGACATGCAAAAAGTCTCTTTCATCCCTCTCCTAAAATTGGCATTATAAATTGAGTAAAGAGTAGGTTTAGAGGCTGAAGAACTAAAGGATATCCATGTGATCGCTGTGAAAACAAGTGAACTTTTCTTATAGTCTTGTTCACGGGGGTGCCAGAGCTGAGCTACATGGAAAGGTAGCCAGGAGACCAAAAACAAGAGATTTAAAATGAGGAACATTTTGACCGTTTTCACTTTTGTCCTTGGGACAATATTCATTGTCCTCCTCACTGTTCGACCATCAGAGCCTATTCTCCAAATATACTTTATGACCTTCTGGTAAAACAAGATTATGAGGACAGATGGAATCACAAAGCCCACTAAGAAGTGGATGACAGTATAGGCAGTCCCTTCCCAGGAGGAAGGGAGGAAATAGTTACAATGAGTGTCCCAGTTGGAGCCATAGAAAAAGAGGATGGGGATCACGAAGGCTGCATCAAAGATCCAGGATGCTGCGATCATTTTCTTGGCCTTTTCTCTGGATACCTTGAAGCTCAGTGGGTAAACAATGGTGTAGAACCGGTCTATGCAGATGGAGAGAAGAACATAGATCTGGACACCTGGAGTGAGATACTGAAAGTATCGTACAACCTTGCACATTGCACTACCAAGTGTCCACCTCCCAGTGGTGAACTGGAGCAGGACAAATGGAGTGCTGGCCACACTGATGAGAAGATCAGCACATGCCATGGAAACCACAAAGTAGTTGGTGGTGGACTGAGTCCTTCTACTCCTATGGATGACCAAACAAACCAGCGAATTGCCAAAGATAGAAAATAACCACAGAGTCCCAAAGAAAATGCTGGCTGTGGCCACTTCCCCGGGTTTCAGTCTGTATTGAAGGTCTGTTTTGTTGCTCATCCGCCTGTGCTCCTCGTATAATTCCATCGGGTCATGGCTTGGCAGGGGTGCGGCTGTTCCAGTGCAGCTGTGGTTCTGGAGGGGCACCAGAAGCGAAGGAACAACCAAAGGTGGCTTGATGTTATCCATTCTGTGAGCAAAAACCATATTCACTTTTTTTCTCTTAGTTCTGGATAAGAAAAGAAGAACGAGGCCTCCTGTTAAAATGGTATCATATAGTCTGACTACCTAGGACTAACAATATGATCTGGTGGTACTTAGACTGGCTGTCATTTGTCAGTGAGAAGGACTTGTGGATTGGGTGGAAAACATTGCCATCCAGAAAATGTTCTGGCCTCATGGCTTTTTCACTTTAGAATGAGCTCAGTCTCTCTCTGACCTCATCATTTCCTGGTCCTTAGTCAGATATAGCAGAACTCATACCATGCCCCATTCCTATACTTGTCATTGATTTCTCCTCTCACTGGGGCAATCACAGAGGGCAGGAAACTCAAATCTGGCTTATAGTAAAGGTATTACTACCAGCTGAAAAACTGCTGGAATCCGGGCAACTATGTGAGAAGTTCCTCAATGTCATAATAGTAATGTAGTAAGGCTGCAAGAGGAAGAACCTTGAGCAGAGGAAACCCTAGATGTTGACTATGGAAACAGCTGTGTAACAGGAGTCGGTGAGTACAGAGTGGCTGGCTCCTGGGAAGACTCCTGCCTGCCTGACTGCAGATTTTTTATTATCAAAGCACTGTGGTGGCACACAGAGCAAGCAAACCACTGCCACATAAGGCAAAAGTAGCTCCTAATATGATGACACACACAAATAGCCTGCTTTTTACAAAAAATGATGCAGTCCATGTTCTAATAGTGTACAAGCTACCAACAACATATATTTCAATGCCATTGTGTTGTTTTTGTTTCATAAAGTATCACTTACTGAAGGATATACAAGAGGTACTCTCAGGAATATAAGCAGATTACTGCACACCTTTGGACAGTCAGGTGAGAATAAAAAGAACAAAATGTGGGGCTGGGGATTTAGCTCAGCAGCATAAGCGCCTGCCTTGCAAGCAGGCAGTCGTGAGTTCGATCCCCAGTACCGATAAAAAGGAAAAAGACACACACAGAAAAAAAAGAGCATAAAAAGAACAAAATGTAACTGTTAACATTACTCAGCAACTTTAAAAAGCTTAGGATGCTTAGATATAAAAATACTATCAAAACAAATTTAACCTTTATTTTATACTTTCATTACTACTGAGAAAAAAATTATACTTTTTAATAAGAAAGAAGATTGTATAAATGTGATTCATTCAATTAAAATTGAGGTGATTTTGGTCACAGATGGATTATAAAACTTTACATTGGTCTGAATCCATTAAGTAGAAAGAGAAACCATAACAATTGAATCATAATAACCATCACAATTATGGTTATTAAGGTAAGAGATAAATATGGGTAGTTTCAAAATTTTACCCAATAAAAGTAAAAAGCCCTGATACAGTAAGAGCCACCATGTTGTTAGAGTCCACCGGGCCCAAGGCACAGTAAGATGCTGCCCCCGCACCGGCTAGAGGGAGCCCTTTTGGTCACTTCTGTGACTCTACCTTACCAGGAAACATTTCCAGTATGATGAGCAGAATTAAAGAAAGGTTCTGAATGAAAGAATGGTCCTTACTGACCCATTTCTTTCCCCTTAATCTCTGGGAGTGTTTATATTGTCTTCACCAAGAAACTAAATTCAACAAAAGTCTGGTATTTAGGACAATGTACTAAATACCAGATCCATATTATCTTCAGGTTTCTTTTGTCCATGTAGCAGCCCTACTTGAGCTCTCAAAGAGAAATGTAAAATAACTTGATGTTTTGATGATTAAAGAACCGTTAAGCATGCTGCCGAATGATAGGCAATTGTAAGAAAGCAACCATATTTTCCATAATAATATTAATAATAATAATAGAAGAAGAAGAAGAAGAAGAAGAAGAAGAAGAAGAAGAAGAAGAAGAAGAAGAAGAAACAACAACATGGTGAAAACAGGACTAAAAAAACCAAAACAAACAAAAAAACAGGACATAAACTCTAAGATTAGTATTGCCTTATAAAACTCAGAATGCAGGATCCTTGCTTATAAAACTGAAATAATTTTTTCACCTTCATTTGTGCAAAACCTGTAAAATTCCAAGGAATAAAATCACGTTTTTAAAAAGGGCTTAAAAAGTAAAACAGACAAGCAATTTTCCCACACAAAAATCTGCTAAGTTTTTTTTCATTGTGGGGGCTAAATAAAATAGGAGTTGATGCCACTGGCACTTTTCCTCAGTCAATTCACTTTAAACCTGTGAACTTTCATTTCTTCTTCCTCTCACTGCAAAACTCCTTGAAGGAAACTCAAACTCAGAGCTACTACTAAAGCTAGACTTCCTTTCATCCTTTCCTCCAGCTGCTTTCCTCCAGTGAGTGTGCTGACCTCTCCAGCCAGTTGGAAGCACTGGCTCTTGGTGGTCAAAAACTGAGGGAGGAAGCCTGCGAAGTGTGAGTCCAGGTCTCCCGGATGCTAGCATGACTTGCTGACTGCAACTCTGCTTATTCTCAATAAAGCAAGAAGCTGTACTAGTACTAGGGAAACAGATTAGTAAGGCTTATAAAATACAAAATAAGCAGTCTACCATATTATAACAAAATTTGATAATAATTATAATTAACTGCTGAAAAAAGACATTTACAAGGAGATAAGTAATGGAGAAAAATACGAACTCGATTTTAACTGGGGTAGGGAAGATTTTACAAAGCTGAGGTTTGAGCTGTGGTTGGAGGAGGACTTAGACAGAAACAACAGCAACAAAATATTCCAGGGAAGCGAAGTAGCATAGAGAATGAATTTGGGGGTCGTCTTTCTGGGATGACTTTTGGGGGCCCTTTTTCCTCTTAGAGACAATTCCCTTCAGAATTTAACTCATGGAGTGTGCAGTTTCTAAATACCCTACAATCAAACTGACCTCAATGTTGCCCATGTTTACAGTGAGAGGCTGTATTTTCCACACTCACGGGCTGAAATGTGGTCAGATGGTGGATAAAGAATATTCACATATCCAGAACACTTGTGGAGCCCTTGTTCACACAGCACTGTTAGTCCTCTACTGCAGCATTTTCCCACTTTGTTTTACTCTTGCTTAGCAATGCACTGGCATTTCCCAGGCGCTTTAAAAAATACCCATGTCTGCATTTCACTTTCTGTGATTCTACTTTAATTGATCTAGAGTGCAGTCTGGGCACTGGCATGTGCCTACGTTCCCCCTGGTGACGCTAACGTGTAGCTGAGATGAAGGATCACTGCTTAGAATTACATCCATGTTTCCCACTGAATTATGGACTCCTAGGGGGCAAGTGCTTTTCTCCACGCTCTTTAGCTTCCACTGGATTTCTTTAAATTAGTATTTGCTGATTCAATATTTACTAAATGGACCCATAAGGACAAAGAACTGAAATGATTCCTAGTCTGTGTAGCTCTCCTAAAATTAAATGCAGGGATAGGAAATCATTGTGTGTTTCAGGGAGCTGAAACATTGGTGACCATGGTGACAGAGGAAAACATAACTTCTGGTAAGCACGCAATAGGTAAAACTGGAGTCACTCAAGTCAGCTGCTACTTGAAACAAGCCTCATCTAAGAGTGAGGGAAGGTAGTTCGGGTGTCCTCAGACAGGTCCTTTACCCTAATCCAAAAAAATAGTCTGCCATACTATAATCCTAGGATTCCAAAGTAAAGTTTCATAAAGGACTCTCCTGGCTCATTAATTTTGAAATAAATGTCTTCCATAGAGTGTTTATGAAATACAAGGGCTTTTAAATTAGTAATTATATCCAGAACCACTCATATACTGTAAGTATAGGAGTGACAAGAAGGAAGTCTTGTTTTTGTTCTTGTTTTTTTTTTGTCTTTTTGAGACAGGGTCTCGCTATGCAGTTCAGGGTGGTCTTGAGCTCACTTTGTAGCCCAGGCTAGTCTCGAACTTACAACAATTCTCCCACTTCAGCCTCCCCAGTGCTAGGATTACAGGCGTGAGCCACCACGCCCGGCTGGAAGTCAATTTTTGTTCCACCTATCTCTTTCCAGACAGTGTTGAGACTACCATGTGACATACTACACTGAGTAGAGTACTGAAGGCCTTTGTTTATTTATGTATTATCTAAAAGGAATAACTTGCCTATCAGATTATCTACTTATCTATCTGGACTCTAAGAGATGTGTTTCAAAATGTGGATGGAGGAAATGGTGATGTGTCAGAAAACTGGGGGCTGGGAAGGCCTCTGTAATGAGAGAACTTAAGGACCCTGAGTAGGGAATTTGCTTTTTTTATTTGGTATTATAACTTTTATTCTGCATGCTTGTGTTCTCTGTTAGGTTATAAAAGTCCTTGAGGATAGTGATCATGTCTACATCTCTATATCCCTGGGGCATACAGATATTAATAAAGGTATATTGAATATATGAATAGATAGATGTTAGTAAAAATTATCTAATATTTGAAAATTGGCAAAAATTTTGGGATATTAATCCCCGTGATTCTGGGGTTGGAACAGGGCCTCAGTATGCTAGATAAGTACTCTACCCCTGAGCTATATTCCTAGCTCCTTGGAATTTTTTTTTTTTTTTTTTTTTTTTTTTTTTTTTGGTACCGGGGATTGAACTCATGACCTTACACTTGCTAGGCAGGTGCTTATGCTGTTGAGCTAAATCCCCAGCCTCCTTGGAAATTTTTTTCATATAATTTTTTACTAGTGCATATGTGTAGTACACAATGATTATGCTTAATGTGGGGAGTAGGCACATGTACATAACTTACCTTAATTATTTTTATTCTATTTCTCCTCTCTTCCCTCTCTCATCCCTCCATTTCAAGATCCTTATCTCATTTATCAAAGATCTATCTCCCTATTTCTTAAATGTCTGTCTTTACTTTTGTTCTTTAAATTATTTGTCCTCTGGAATTCTCAATAAGAGAAGTTATGCAATATTTAATCTTGTGTGTCTGATTTATTTTACTTAATATAATGATCTTACCATGAACATTCTTAAATGGGCCTCCTCAAGGATTATTAATTCTCTAGAAAATTAATCTGTACTTGACTAGCATCCAGACACTGTGAAATTACATGTTAACTTGCAGATTTCTGTTT